TATTTTGTCATTACTTTTTTCATAATTGCTTATTTTGACAGAATTGTTCGTCATATTACACCATTATATTTTGATATCACATAATTGCAAGGAATAATTTTTGTCATAAATGCATGTGTGACGAATATATTTTCTCATAACTGTATATTAGGACAAATATATTTTGTCATAATTGCATATTGTGACCAATATGATTTAGTCATCAATATATTGAATAACATATAGTTGAAAAAATCAATATTCTTGTAACATCTGCCGTTGCTGACAATACACTCTTCTTCCTCACTTCCGCCGCGACGACAACGCATCCTTATGGAGTAGTACCTAAGGACTAAGGTACTAGGGGTTCTAAACCCCAAACCCTAGTTTTAGGGTTATTATGTAATGAATGAATATTTAAGGGTTTTAATGAATGAATGTATTTATCTAGTTGATTTCATTGTTTCTCTAGCTTTGATTGTGTTTGGGTAAGTCGCCCTAATCTTCTCTACTAGCCTACTTACGCTTCTATGTTGGGTATGGAGTTTTAGGGTTAGACGGGTATGCACCATCAAGCAAATTGAGGTTAGATGTATGAATAGGATCTTATGGTGGACGAGGCAGCCGTACCCCTGCCATAGGAATGCCTTCTTAGATAGAACTCGGGATAAAACCTCGGTATGGACGGTTACCCATGGAAATGAGCTATGTTCTTAATGTCCCAGCCTAGATCGATGTGACTGACATGGGATTAGGAGAGGCATGTGGATAACCACGAAAGCCCACTGAAAAGAGCTCACTAACCACATTCGACAAACCATATTTATCTAAACATTGCATAGTAGTCCTAGGCTAGGGTAAGGGATAGTTCCCCAAAGTACCTGCTATTATCTTTATTTACTCTGTTAACTAGTTAGTTCACTCGAATCCTCCAACACAACCCCTTAAGCCGATCGGCTACATAAGAACAACGTGGGAAGTAAGCTAGGGTACCGCCCGAGTGAATATGACATTGATTGCCATAATACAAAAATGACATTTTAGGTTAAACTTGCCCTTGGATGGGGTAGTTGTTGACACGTGCTAACCACTGACAATAATCTGCGCGGATGAATGTGATCAATATATCATATTCAATAACTTTTACTTATTTATAATTTATCTTTATATAACTTTTATTTGTTCACTTGTTTGAATTAGCAGCTGATCCTGGAACTTTGGAGGAGATTTTTTTAATTGCTCAATATATTGTATTCAATAACTTTTACTTATTTATTAGTTATCTTTATATAACTTTTATTTGTCAACTTGTATGAATTAGTAACTGATCTTGGAACTTTGGAGGAGATTTGTGAATTGCTCAATAATGAAGAGAATGAAGATGGCATAGAAGGTAAGTAATTTGTCATAGTCTTAATAGTATAATATTAATTCGACCTATCAATTGATAAAAGACTAATGAATGATGGTTTCAGAAGTTGGAGTACGTTAGAATTTTGCTGCTGGAGTTTGCTGGAATCTTCCTAAAATTTTGTTGCAAAAGTTTTTTTGCTGGAAATGTGCATGTTTGCTGGGAATTTTGTTGTTGGAATTAGCTGGCATCTGTCTAGAATTTTGTTGGGATTGACTGGAATTTTGCTGCTGGAAATCTGCTTATTTGTTGGGAATTTTACTGCTGGAATCTATCTGGAATTTTGTTGGGATTGATTTAAACTTTGCTGCTAGACTTTTGCTACTAGAAATCTTCTATTTTGTAAGGAATTTTGCTGGTGCAAGTCTGCTAGAATCTTGGATTTTTATCCCATAATACACACGTTTCTACAAAACATCTCAAAATACTCACATTTTCTGAAAAAATTTCAATCTACACATGTTTGGGGATCACCGCACCGCGGCAGTGAAATGCGGTGAAGGCTTCACATAAGGCTGAAACTTCAAACGAACGTAATTTTGCGCTCGGTTATCTGGTCGTAGCGGGGGAAAAAATTGATTCCGCATAATTTTTGAGATCTTGCAAGCCAAAGACAATTTGGTCCTACGTTCACTAAATAAAACATCTTTGTTACCCCAAACAAGCAATTTTTCACTTTTGTTAAACTTTGAAAGGCCATAACTTTGTTCTCTTCAAGGTTGTCAAACCGTTTTATGCCGGTGTGCCGGTTTTACAAGCCAAATGGTTCAACCGTGGTACATACCGGTATACGCCAGTTTATACCGGTTTTAAAAAATATGTATAGAAAAAACTGAAAATCATTAATCGTAACATCGTAATTCTCCCAACCGACAGAATCTTAACACAAATGGCCAATAAATTGAAGTTTATGCAGCACTAATAGGATGAGCAGAATCAATAGTCAATAGCACGTTACTTTTTCCAGATCAACAAAAAATTTATATCCATTCCAACTGCTCCTCCTTTCTTCATATCATTGCCATAAACCTCAATAATAGAATTCCCTTCAACAGCACCTACAGAACGTCCCAATTCCTCACCTTTAGACTCCTCAACCGCGCTTCCAACTGTAAAATCGGCACACTTAAATCCATAACCTCCAGTCGCTTCCTCCGTCAGAAACATCCTCCAAGCACCATCGACGCTCCTGATCCTCGGCCCTGTTAGCCTCTTGAAACCCCCAATTCAACACAACTTCATGCCCTCGCCCAAGACCACAACCCAATCTTCTCCCTCCGCCTTGGAACCCACCTCAACGTCATAGTCTCCTCTGCCTCCTTAGCGAGCTTGGGTACACCAACGGCGACCTCTGGCATGACCTTGGTCATGTCGACGGCATGGAGATCTTCTCCGCCCACCGCATCAACGCCTTTCTCTCCATCCTCCGCGAGGAAGCACACCACCTCATATCCAAGCCCGCAAACACAAAGTTATGGAAAAAAATTGATTTCGCATAACTTTTTAAGGACTATAACTTTTATCATAGACATAATTTCATAATGTATGTGGATTTGCAAAAAGTAAAGGCAAAGTTATTCCCAAAATCCCAAAAATATTTCTTGTTTTGAAACTTCCTTCCTAGTTAAAGTTGTAGTCCTTCAAAATTTATACTCAATAAAAAAAATTCATGACGTTTGGATTGCGGAGCACAAAGTTATGGGCTTCTAAAGTTTATTGAAATCGAAAAATTGCTCGTTCGGTATAGCAAATGACGTTTTTCCGGGATGAAGGCGGGACCAACCCCCTATGGCTTAAAAGGTTTGGAAAAATTATGCGGAATAAAACAAAATTCGCTACGATTGGATAACCGAGCGTGAAGTTACGTTAGTTTGAAGTTTCAGCCTTATGTAAGGCCTTCACCACGTTTCTCGGCCGTAGTGATGCAATTAACGCGGCCATCGACCATGGTGATGCTCGAAAATATGTAGATTGAGAATTTTTCATAAAATGTGTGTATTTTGAGAATTTTTTTTAAAAAAATGTGTATTACTGAAAAAAAAAAACTGGAATCTGCTGGAGTCAGCTGGAAGCTTTCTAGAATTTTGCTGATATTTATTGAAATTGTTTTTTGTTCCCTATTGAATTTGTTCTAGTTTGCTTTGTTCTAGTTTGCTGGAAGTGTTTCTAGAATTCTCAAATTGTGTACTTTGAAGTTTGAACTTGGTTTACTTGTTAAAGTTTCATTAATGTTAATTGTTAGGACTTTGCTACGGTGACATGCATGTAACGGTGACATGCACTTTTCGATCTACCTCATATAGGATTAGGTCAACCTAATATGTTGTTTCAGTGTAAAAACAGTTTTATGGTGCCTACTTTGGAGATTCGTATCTTACAATTTGCTAGATGAAAATTGGAGATTAATGGCTTGTTTTGAAGCTGAAGTGTCCCTCTACACATTAAAGTACTTGCGAGCTCGATAGAAGGTCCAGAAGACCATTTTTGGACCTGATCAAAAGGCAATGCCAAAACTGGGAAACTGCCTAAAAATGGCTAAGTCTGGGAACGTGTTTGTGAAGCCTACTTTGGAGCTCAATTTGAGAATTATGGATACGATTCGAGTCCAGGGGCCTCTAACACGTTAAATTAGATATATTTTATACAAAGGAAAGACATTGGATGAAATATTGGATATCTTTAAGGCTTCAAACAAAAGGATCGAAGTTGCTACAAATGATGTTTTTCTGGCACCTTGCTTGTGCTCGAAGTCTGCCAGAAAACAGCCTTTGTAGCAACTTTGACCCTTTTATTTGAAGTCTTACAGATATACAATCTTTCATCCAATGCCTTTAATTTGTATAAAAACATATCTATTTTAACGTGGTAGAGGCCCCTGGACTCAACTCTCATTCATGTTTCTCGAATTGAGCTCCAAAGTAGACTTCACAAACACGTTTCTAGACTTGGTCATTTTCAGGTAGTTTCCCAGTTTTGGCATAGCCTTTTGATCAAGTTCAAAACTTGTCTTCTGGACTTCCTATCGAGCTCTCAATCACTTCAATATGTAGAGGGACACTTCAGCTTCAAAACAAGCCATTAATCTTCAATTTCCATCTAGCCACTTGTATGATACGAATCTCCAAAGTATGTACCATGAAACTATTTTTACACTGAAACAACAGATTAGGTCGACCTAATCCTAAATGAGGTCGACCTAATCCTAGATGAGGTCGACCTAATCTTAACTGAGGTCGACCTAATCTTAACTGAAGTCGACCGAAAAGTGCAAGGCAGTATTTGGTTTTGTTGTGTTATGATATTTGGTGTGCCTTTCCGCTATCCGTGTGCTTTTCGGGTATGCCCGGTACCAGGTCAGGTTCTGACATGGTATAGAATTTACTATCCATGTAACTATTTCAGACGGGTTCTGGTATGCTCGGATATCTTATCGGGCGGGGATTGGAAACCCGCTATTCGGCCATGCCCAACCCATTGCAACCCTAATTTACAGAATTACCTTTATACCAAGTAGCTCATGAATGAAGGGGTATCTTTTGGGATTAAGTTCACGCTACACTAAACTCATAAATTATAAATGAAAATTCTAGAAGAGGGAGATAAAAAAAAATAAAAAAAAAAAGTAGGTGCATTATTTGTTATCGTAGTTGTGAACATTGGAATTCCAATGAAATGGTTTGTTGGTACAGAGTTTAAGTAGGGTCTGATAAAACCCGTCCCATGCAGGTCAGATCTTGTGCCAATTAACTAAGAGCCGTAGCAGACCTCAAGGCAGGTGAGCCTGCACACCATACTACCCAATCTGTTCTGGATCCATTGTCCTTCCTATTGATGAACTCAATCAATATTTCCAATACTGTGCAGTCTGCCTTTCTTGACCTTAATCACTATCCAATCCAACTGGTTCATTACTTCATACATTGAAGATAAAAGAATCAAAGACGAAGGTCCTCCCTCATCTCATATACACAACAATTACAAGTTTTATTCTTGTCCCGAAGGACAACAATAAACCATGTACAAAATAACCCTGTAGAATTTTACATACAGACTCCGACGAGCACATACCAAAACAAACCTAACAAGACAGTCATTCACAGTATTGACACTTTAGAAAACGATCAGGTCGTTAGAATGTCAGGGATCTTAATGGAATGAGCTCCAAGCACTTTGCCACCAACATCAGGGAAGTTCTCACTTCCAGGGAGGGGGCTTACTGCTCCATCCATATCAACCTGGTAGGGATACTTGAGGAGATGCCCCTGCAATTTCAAGAAATCGGGATCCGAGAAATTCCTCCAGTTCTCTTCAGCAATGTTGTTCACTGCCTTCACGCAGTCCAAACTCTCGGGCTCTTCGAACGTCTGCTGTAATCCGCCTAGATGCTCTGCCCAAAGAGACATTCTATATCCGTAGATCTGAAACACACCGATACTAGTCACCACCTTACAATTTCACCCTCCTCTTCCAGAACATACGGCAAGTGACCAAAAAAGAAAAAACTTGATTAGACATAATTCGGAAGAAACACAAACCTGGCCCCGTGGATGTCTCTTGTTCACTGCCCAAGCGTGATGAGGCTGATACGCACCCATGGCAGTCTCTGTGTCCTTGGTACCGGCCATCGATCTCTGGTTGATATTAGCTGATCCTATGATTACATACTCATCATCCACTATCATGCCCTTGGCGTGGACATAAATCATGAACCGCTGACGTTTCGCAGATTCGGAGACCTGAATGAGGTACCAGAAGGTAGAGGGTGACTAATGCTAGACTGAAGTGCAGCAAGCAGAGTGCAGAGGAACCAAGTGCAGCCATCCAACATTTTACAGATATTCATTCTAAATCTCATAAATTATTCAAATTTCACGGCCCCATGCACTACTAAAGTTTCATTCCAACTTTTGCCACCTTAGGAATAAAAATTTTGAAAAGTCATTGCCCACATGAATCACAACTCTAAGACCCACTGATCTTTTTGTTAAATGAACTATCTTGCATCTCATAATTACTTTTTTATTACTACTGAAATGTGTCGTGCCGTCAATAATGCTTTTTTCTAAAACCCAACCGAGCACACTTTTTTTCCACTTCTACTAAAACCTGAACAACAAATCACTTACTGTTGAGTTAAAAAAAAAACACACTCGGGCAGTTAGCAGCAGAGATCACTATGGTTTCATTACCTGTTGACCATTGCCACTCAACATTTCTGGGGGAGCTTCCTCGGTCTTACCGATGCAGTAGAAATTGAGGTAGTCTTGAGGATGTACGCCCTGAAGTTGCATAGACTTGAGTTCCTCTGCAACTACACCGTACATCATGGTAATGGTCTGGCTCTGTAGAGTTGCAAAAACTTTCAGAGGTTATAATTTGCGCAATTGGCATGTTATGGTATTCTTGGAAAATCCAACTATAATTCCTAGGCTGCCCCACCTGCCAAAATAGAATTTCTTGCACAACTTCAGATTTTGGGTCTCCTTCTGGCCACATTGGCATAACAACATACACTGCAAACCTCTCATTGGCTCTAATTTTCTCTGCAATCTTCAATGCCAGCTCCATTGGTATTAGATTATCAGCTCCTGCACATAACGATAACTAGGAATCAAGACCAAGTATCTTGTCTGAAGCCAACATTGTAGCATAGTTAAAGCACACAGGAAGCCGAAGACCAAAAACAAGGACAAATAAAAACGAATAGGTAAAGAATAATGGAAGCTTCACCTGCATTTTGGTATGAAGGCCAGCCATATGATGATCCAACAAAATACTGATTCTCAATGTAAATAAAATGTTGTGCAGATCGGATTGCCTGTATATATGCAGTTTGAATGCTTCTATCTATCACCAGATTTTTTGAAAAAGTGAGATTCTGCAACGAGCAAAACAGGAAGAAATACACTGATAAGATGATCTGGAGAACACTAAATTATTGAACCAGTAAATCATTGTCAGAAGCTGTAATTTTATCCGGAACTCGGAACGAAAAAGCAAAGGACGGAACATTTATGGGTAGTTCTATGCACCTGTGCCTGACATTTACCAACAGTCTTTGGAAATCCCTTCAATGATCCAGAGTCAATGGAACGGAAGATCTTAAAAAGAAAGAAACTAAATAATTAGCCAGTTAGATAATAATACATCAGAGACACAAACCCACTTGAGGTCCAACAGCTCGTATTTACCTGAACATGCCAGTTTTCAGGATCTTGTTCACCGGAGACATGTACTATAGGATCATCCGAGGGAACAACTGTCACGCCTTCCTTTGTTACGCTCAAGGGAGGACTTACTATCCATGAGATCCTTTCTATCTTTATTAGAGCATCATCATTCCAATGTGAAACCTTTTTCAAACGAAGTCCAAACTCTTTCCACTTTGTTGCTTTCCTCCAACGCTGCTCAAAGTTTATAAGAAGGTCATATGCAGCAGGCCCGTCAATTCTAGAATGCAAGTCATGCCATGGTTGCCTGGGAGCCTTGGTCCCCGCCTTGAGCACAAACAACGGAAGTCAAAATCAAAACAGTTTCAAAATAGTTGAAATCAAGGGGAGGTTACTCTAACATTCTAATGCTATGGCCTATCCCTTTAAAAGGAAATAATTAGACTGGGGCAATCGGGCAGTCCATCGTTACACATATACACTAGAAATAAATGAAATGAGATTCCCATAATGAGCAGCAGAACTGAATTTTTCATAATAAAAAAAGAACGAGAGAAGAATTTGACTGCTCGATCCTCACAGGAAATGTAGGATTGTGGAAATCATCCTTGAAGCAAGAATCAAGATCACGAAATAGCCGGTGCTCCGGGGTGTCATACCGCCCATCACAAAGATCAAGTCCTCCCATAAATGCAGTTAACTTCCTGTTATTACCGGGAGCCTGTGTGTCTACAAGAACGCATTTTTGATGATGTGTAAAGACAGTTCCAACAACCTGAAATAGGGGTAGAGAACAAAATCATTGGCAGATTCAGAAGCAGAATTGAAGCAAAGTCTTCATTCATGAGAGTAAACCCCTAAAACAGCAGTTCCCTAGGACAAGACCCAAGATGCAAACTTCAAATAAAGACAAGGATCACTAGAGTCAATCACGTAGACCATCACATGGGCTCCCTTTTCACCCTCCCCTCACGGTACTACTTCACAATCGGTAACCCAGGAGTATTTAGCCTTGCAAGGGGGTTCTTGATGATTCACATGGGATTCCACGTGCACCATGCTGCTCGGGTCAGAGCATAAGCTAGTCTGATTTGTTCATAAACCCCCTTATTGTCATTCAGATAAGTAGTAAACTTTAATACCAAACACATTCTCCTTTGGCCAAGATCACGTCTTTAGATTCAACTTAAACTATACACACAACTCTTATTATCAAACCAGCTCATACATTTCTATGAACAGCATAATACAAACTTACCGATTGTTTCAAAATGCTAAGCTTACTGCTGGCATAGCGAGGTGATAACACACAGATCACTGAAGAATGCTTGAAAAACTTCTTTGTCTCTTCATCGTGAGTTTGCATCACTCCACCCTGTAATCCAGTGTCTTCAAATCAGAAAGAATAATAACCACAACCGTCCAATAATAGCAGATAGCAAATAGCGGCATGGCAATTGTAGATTGTTAATTAAATTTACAGGAACCCATTCACCAGATCCCAAAAAGAGCGCTCTGTGCTGTGCTTTGCACTGAATCCTACCAGAATCTTAAGAGACAGCGTAATATCTAATACCCACTTAGACTAGCAAGTTCAGTTCACAACTTCACTATAAGAGCTTATCAACAAAACTAAATAGGGGTTCTCACCGTAGAGATGCCAAATTTATCATGAGAGGTTTTGTCATCCCAAACCAGCAGCAGAACTCTGACTCCTTCCTCGGACTTATACTTGAGCAACTCACCAAGAGTCAAATCCCCACCTCGTGGCAATGGCCGAGTTGGTTCTCTAACCAGCTTAATCTTATGGAACACAGACCATCCCACAATGTAAATCATATGGTGAGCCTCTGATATGGCATAGCAAAGATCCTCCCAACACTGTGGCTGCTTATAAACCATGCTGCCGTCAAGTTGAATCTCCGGCAACGAGCCACAGGGGACGTGAGCGTCCTGGTACAATGTCACCTTGCTCCCTTTCCTCAAAGGGAAGTAGGTGTCAGTGACGCCGCTGTGAGTAGGATCGCCGGCAATGCCATGGAGATAGCGCGGATTCTTGTCAACAGCAATGAACTTCATCTCGAGCCTCAGTGCAGTGTCCGGCTTAGGCGTCTGGCCGCCGGGGCCGACAATCGGGAACCAGCCGCTGAGAACCTCCCCCGAAGCGATCTTCTCGGCGGGAATTGCAGCCTTTCCAACAAGCTGCGCCCCGAAAACGTCGTCATCCTTGACGTGGAACTCAAGCTCGGAGCACGGATGCGCAAGCTGGAGATGGAACCGGTAGTTCCACCTAGGGTTTTGGGAGTTCTTGACAACGTGGGTGCGGGCGATCGTGGCTTGGGGGACGACGACGGTGACGTAGGAGTCCGTGGTGATGATATTGCGGTGCTTGTGCAGCTTGTGGTCCCTTGCTTCGCCGTCGGCGGCGGTGGTGACGGGAGGTGGAGCGGCGCAGAAGTTGCAGGGGGAGAAGCAGCGGCGGAGGCGCTCGGAGGTTAAATCCATGTTAGGAAGCCTTCGAGCTTCAATGACGTGCAAATCGAGGTCCCCGTGGAGGTAAATGACTTTCCGACTGTCGGCATCGTTGTAAGCCATGGATGCCGGCGGCTAAGAGTAGGTGGGGAAGGGAGGAAATTGGGACAGAGAGTGCAGAGAAGAAGGGAACGGGCAGAAAGATTGGGTTGCGGTAAATGGGGGGAATAGGGTGGGAGTGTTGACGGCTTGGTTACGTGTTCCCTTCTTTCGTGGGGACGTTTGCAGAAACTGGTATGGTGAGTTTCCGGTGCTTTAGAGGGTGGTTTATGATGCCACATGTTCGTCTTAATTGAAGTTAAAGACAAAAGTAATCTTTGCTCCCGAAGTGGAAAAAATAAAGTAATCTTTTCCCAACGGTAGATCGGAGAAATGGGAAGTAGATAGGATTGATTACTATTTATTTAGTATATCACATACCGAGTGATACTGTGCAAAATTTTATGGGTAGAAGAACTTTATGATTGCGCATACGCTTGTACAGAAATATCAATGGAATAATGTTTCAGTGTGTTAAAAATAGATTTTGATTAAGGCTGACTACAATGGGGTTTCATGTGTTGTTTGTGAATTGTTTGAGGATGTGGTAAAATTTAGTGAAACAAGATGATCCTTTGTCACATTGTCTTTCTGCTATTTTGATGAAAGTTTTCTCATTTTTAATGAAGAAAGTTGTGTTAATGAACTCTTTTCATCCTATTTGAAAGAGGTTAGGGTTTACTCATTTATGTTTTGCTCACAATTTGCTTATTTTCTCTGATGGATTGAATTTTAGGGTCTAGTGTGTTTAAAGAGTTCTTGATAAATTTAGTATTATGTCTGGTCTCACTTATAATCTTTCAAAGTGTGAAATATTTTATGGTGGTCTCCCTCTTGAATGGCAGAAAGAGTTGGCTTCTAGAGTAGGGTATAAATTGGGTAAAAATCCAGTTTGATATTTGGGTGTACCTTTCGAGTACTCTAAAATTAACAATCAATTTTTTTCGACCACTGATTGAGAAGTTGACAGCTAGGATACATGGACGGAATCTTAGAGTACTGAGTTATGCAGCCCGCCTGGAACTGATTCTTTCTGTTTTGTACAGTTTGACTTAGTTCTAGATGGTAGTGTTTATTCTGCCAAAGAAAATGATCAAGGAGATTGAGAATTTGTGTAGTAATTTTTGTGGAGAGTTGGTGAAGGTTTGAGGAAGAAAGTAGTGGTAGAACAGCCGTTTTTAACCTACCCTGAAGTTGAAGGGGGTTAGGGAGGGACATTTATACTTGGAATTTAGCCTTGTATGTGAGACATATTTGGGATATCATCATTGAACATGAATCTCAGTGGGCTTATTGACCCCACAAATTTGAAAATCTTAGTGGGGTTATCCTCATTGAAACATACAACAAATTTTTCAAAATTTACTATTGTCTACTAAGGGGTTCATACTTCTATAAAACCTCCAAATGGGGTTCACACTCCTAAAGAGAGCCTCTTAGAAAGAGTAAAGGTCATCCGCAAACAACATATGCGAGACCCGTGGAGCTTAAGGGCTCACTCTCACACCCTACAATCGCCTATTTTATATCGCCTACTGTATTAAGACTGCAAATCCTTTAGTAAATAGTAAAAAATGAAGAGGTCATAAAGGATCACTCTGTCGTAGTCCTCTAGTCGATTTGAAAAATCTGTCAGCCTTACCATTCATAAGGACCGGAAAAGTGGGTGTCGTGATACACTCCTTAATCCAACTAATTCATAGGAGACTGAACCCTAATTGATTGAAGACCGCAAGGAAGAAAGGCTACTCGACTCTATCATATGTGTTTTTTATATCAAACTTCAGAGCTATGTACCCTTTCTTGCCTTTGCACTTGATCTTAAGGTAGTGCATAACCTCATTTCTTTCTTTCCCTATAAGGGCTTTCGCTCGCAACATCAACATGTGTGGCTTCGGCGACTGCCTCAGGCCCCCCTTTTCCAACACCCAACTCGCTACTTAACATAGACTTGCTCCACCTGCAGCATCATGCCCAATAAGAATATTATCTACAATCTAGCGCTCCCAGATGAAAGCATTCTACGCTGAAGAAATAATATGAGGCAAAAACATTGTCCTCCTCTCTTTCATGATCTTGAACATAATCTTATAGACAAACTAATAATATGGCGCTCCATTTCGTTATTTCAAGCATTTTCTATTTGTGGTTCTTTTCTCAAAGTTTTATTTATTTTATTTTTATAAATGGTAACTCGTTTTTTATTACTAAAAATAAATTAATAATTAGATAATCATGATGAATAATTATAGCACATAGATAATCATAATTGTGTAATTGAAGGTAATCTTATATAATGATAAAAGTCAAATTTTTTGTATAAAAAATCAAAATTTTAGTGTTGAAAGATTTATCATTACAAAATATTTCACACATAATGATATTAGTAATCTTATATATGAATCAAAGATAAATAAATAAATCTATTTTTTATTGATGAAAATATCTCCTGCATTATCAAGAAAACAAAAAGCTACATAGGAGGCCCCGAACTAGCCCACACTTTATCAATAACGAGATTTGCATCTCCTTCAAGCCGACCTTGACTGACGCCAAACTCAATACAACATTTGACAACGTCCCTCAGTGTTGCCAATTCCACCAATATTCCATAAAACATGAAAAAGGAAAAAAAAAGTACTAACATTTCTTCTTCGCTTGCCCATGTACATCTCCTTGTGCTTCAATTGGAACATCATTCATCATAGCAAATATACTTGCAATTTCAATATAATACCGCCACATTTGAGTGTCGGCTTTCATTAAGTAGAATACGCCAAAATTTATCAGATAAAAATAACACATGGTAGAACAACCCAATCAATCATTTGAACTCAATCACTTCATTTATACCCACAGTTATCCTTCATCAAGAGATATCTGAGGATCAATTTCTTGGACAATCTATATTTAATGCCATGAAATTGGCTACTGTAACATGAAACCTTTCATGGGATTGGCTTTCATGGTTTGAATATCTTGGTTTTATCGATAAACCGAAAACAATAATACTACTCGGTCCTATTTTAGCCACCTAACAAAATCAAATAATAATTAACCCTAGGAGAAGGGTGTTAGAACCCTACTAACACTTTTAATAAGGGTATTATAGTAACTGTTCTTCCCCATTTCCCCTTCCTCCTTCTCTCTTCCTCTATGTTCCTTTCATTGAGGTTTTATGCAAAAGTTACACTTTATTACCTGAACTTAATTGATTTAATATTTGATGCCTAAAAGTAATTTTTTATAAATAATTTCTAAAAGTATTGTTGAAAATGAACGTTTTAGTACCTAAAATATTTTTCTTATATTTTGATACCAGAAATGTTTAAGATTTATAAATAGGTCCAATGTTATGAGATTCTCGGTATGCTTTAAAAAAACTTGATGGTTGCTTTATTAGGCTTCTCACATGTTTGATAGAACTTGTGGTCTGCTTTAAGAAACTTATTATATACTTCAATAAACTTCTGATATACTTTAAAAACTTGTAGTATGTTCTTTTAGATTAAAATTCATGTTAACGATTCAATGGAAAAAAAATTAATGTTAACATCATACTAAAGTATCAACACTCTAACCCTTCCCAATTATCTCCTACCTCGACTTCCCTTTCAATTATTCCTAATTATAATATACTCATAAACATACTAATCCTTAAATACCCCCAAACCTCCCTTGGACAGCCGAGCTCCTCAACCCAATATTATATATTTATGGTAAGAATCAGAGGCGAGCTATGTGGTCCCTCGGGGGGCCTCGCCCCCCCCCCCCCCCCCCCCCCCCGAGAATTTTGAATGCACGTGAAAATTTTGCCTATGGTTGGAAGATTACGTATAAGATGCTCATAGTCTAGCGGAAGAAATTGATTCTGGAAGTTTGTGGGTGCGTGTTCGATTCCTGTAGTACGCTGCTTTTTATATTTTTACTAACTTGTTAGTTTGAAGAGATCTTTCTATAATTTTACCTTGTTAGTTTCAGTTAGTTTAATTTGTGCATTTTAGTTCATTTTTTCCAACTTTCAGATACGCATTCTTAAGAATCCTTTTGGTTGTATAACTAATTACATATTTTTTCCAATTAATAGAGACCATTCATTTTTCAATTATGTAAACACTAAGTAACATTTTACACAATAAAATGTATAATTAGTTATTTGTTTTTACTTTACTCATTTGTTTTGAACATAATGTATAGAAACTTAGTCTTAAATTCTAATTTCGATGATTTTTTTTATCTTAAATAATGTAGTGTCATAAAGGTAATAATAAAAAATTATCGCACTTTTAGTTATTTTACTTATTATTTTTTCTTCTTTTCGAAATAATACATTACTTAACTTCGCCCTCCGACCGTCAAATCCTAGCTCCGCCCCTGGTAAGAATCCTACAAGAGACTCCATGTACCGTGATGAATGTTGTGGGTCATAAAAGAAGAATGACAGCTGTGCAAAGTAGTAAAACTCTTATGCAACATTAATGACATTATAGCTTTAATTAATTATATATATTTAGGAAAGATTTGATGTTATGGTGGGACTGGGTGGAGGCCACTCGAAAGTTGAAGATGATGGAGAGGTTTGATTGAGAGGAAAACTGAGTGGGCAGCGCGTTTACAATGAATGGAGGAGGGGCCGTGGATTTTTTTTTTTTTTTTTTTTTTACAACAGAGTAGGTAGTTGGAGAAGTGATGGGATCCATATATTTCTTTAATTAGTACCTCTCTATTATTAACTAGTGTGGCCCCGGCCAGTTGGCCGGAGAAAGGTGAGGTATGAAATTTGATAATATAATGGGGTGTATAGCTTATTGTTGTATAGTTTTTTTTGGGAAATTCGTGATAAAAATAGTGAATTTTAGAAGGAAAGAGACATGAATGATGCAATGAATCAAAAATCGGCCTTATGAACCAAAATCAAGTACATGTTACCTTGTGAAACAATATTGTTTCTGGTAATATGATGAGGTGGAGAAAGTTTTATAGAAACCGAATTCCAGAAAATCGAATAAAAAATCGCCTATCCCGTCGGTTTTCGGGAAATGAGCATCTCACAATCGTTGCTAGCTTTTACTCGGCCCGTTGGTCGATTAATTTGCTTTATAAAACTTTCATCTTGTCGTCATTGTGCTTTCTGGTTTTTGTTAGGCCATGATAAAATCTAAGGAAATCAAGAACGAATAACACAATTTGGGATAGGAACCG